ATGAGGCCCGGAGGCGCGGGGTGGGCGTTAGTTGTGGAAGCTTGCGCGGTTGCTGCCGAGCTCTCTTTAACAGGGGCAGATACCCATGACAGCCATTCACGAGTTATAAGTAAGTTTAGCGCTAGCAGGGGTCAACCAGTACGAGGCTCTTCGCGGGGGATCTTCTGGGGTTGCAAACGGCATGTGACGCGTCGCCCGCCAGCTATGAGGAAGGCTTTGGGAGGCCCGCGCCTCTCCTCGGGGGCCGGGTGGCGTTTTGGTCATAGTACAACAGGCGGGAGTCGCTGCATACCACCGCTGGTCAGAAGAGCACTTCAGGTGTGGTTGCCAGCCAGTGTTAGGAGCCCAATCCAGATACCAAGTTGTGAGGGAAACCGGCTGTTACCTAGGAAGTACCTTCTGAGCATATCTCATGGAAGATGAGTTGTCCCTGGCCATCGTCATAAAAGCTCTGAGCTTTTTCTTAGCTGAATTTAAAGAGCTCAGTGGGAGCTACTAGAGATGGTTAGGATATTATGTGGTTTCACAGATGTACTTTATGCAGATCTGTGGGTTTTATGCTTAAAAGTTTGGTGGAAGCACATCTGTCAAAACATATTCTGGTGCTTTAGGATACGTTCATTTTCATATGTGAACAAAGAACAGTTTATTGAACCTGTTCTCTCCAGCAGAGCACAATAAAAAGCTAGTGTCGTGCTGATGTAAGAGGGTACAGGTATAATCACTGCTTTCAGACCACTGGCATATGTTTCATTCCAGTTTTCCTCACTGTCCTCTAGTTAAAAGTGTATGACAGTCTTGCCTTCCATGCTTTGTTTGCTTTTAGTGGTCAGACAGAATGGCTCCAGTGAACCAGCCAAAGGACAAGAAGCATGAGAGGGCACGTGAGCATTGGATGGAAGAGGCAAAATCAGCTGGGGAGAGGAAAATGGACTACGAGGAGCTAGGGAATGAGCCACAAGCAAAGAGGTTGTTTGTGAGAAAAACATCCAAACCCCCAGAGAAAATCGGTAACATTTCCTCAGATCCTTACTGTTTCTCCCAACCAGATTTACCCTAAATGACAGGTATCGACTAGTTGAAGAGGGAGAATGCCAAGAAGCGTGTTCAGACATAAGTGTTCAGATGGGATTATATATTGAAGTGATAGACAGACATGTATTGGGGTAGTACATCCTCCAGCTATCTGTCTAGTGAGTGTGTGTGTGTGTGAGTGTGTGTGTGTGTATGCGCATGCACATGTATTTAATTTTTGAGGCTCCGTGCCCGTTGGTAGAAGCCTGCTCACTGAATATGCTGTCACAGCTCATTTGAGAGTGGTTAAGTTTTGTGGAATTCCTGAATTACCAGACATCTGCTTTACTGTAGGACAGACCAGTCTTGGTAGTACCTTGTTTTTTCTCCTATGCAATTCTTAATGCAGTTTCATAGTTGTAAGGTTGGTATCCTACAGCGTGCAGTCTAAACTGGCATTTCCACCTGAGTCTTTGCATATTCTAACTTTTGGTACAGTAAGTAGGAATACTTTCTATGTCTATGTTCAGATTAGACTGGACAGAATTTCCATTAATCACTTCTCCTCGTGTGCGTTTTTTTCCGTTAATGTGTGACTTTAGAAAGAAAATCTCTTACAAGATTTTTAATATAATGGGAAGAGGTAATTAATTCTAAGACACTGGAAACGTTAATGGTTTGGATTATCAAGAAAGTTGTGTAGGCTTCAGCTACAGTAAGGACTATTTTCATAGAATCATTTAGGTTGGAAAAGACCTTTAAGATCATAGAGTTCAACTGTTTACCTAACACTGCTGAGTCCACCACTAAACTATGTCCCTAAGCACCACGTCTACATGTCTTTTGAACACGCAGGGATGGTGACTCCACCACTTCCCTGGGCAGCCTGTTCCAATGCTTGACAACCTTTTCAGTGAAGAAGTTTTTCCTAATGTCCAATCTAAACCTCCCCTGGTGCAATTTGAGGCCATTTCCTCTCATCCTATCACTTGTTACTTGGGAAAAGAGATGGGCACCCACCTGGCTACAACCTCCTTTCAGGTACTTGTAGAGAGTGATAAGGTCTCCCTTGAGCCTTCATTTCTTGGATAAAACATTTAATTCCATCGTTTGTTTAGGAGATCTCTAGTGTTACTGCCTTGTGTGGAAATACTACACACTTCGTGTACAATTTTTGGCTTTAGGGATAATAATCCAAATTACTGAAGTGTTTTTCAACAGTCAGCAGTTCAGAGATACAGGAGTTCTACAATTTTGTACGTTTCCATTGTCTGGTATATAGCTCCAAACTTGGAGCAGTTGGCGGTGTGAACAGCGGATGTGGAGGCAAAATACTCTGTTTGAAAGTTCTGTGTGTGATTGTGGATAGTTAAAGCATCTTCTGTAGTTAATGTAGCTACATGATTTTCCTTGTAACTTCAGGGCCTGGTATTCAGATTTGGTAAGCATCTGCAGTTCCTGTAAGATTCAGAGGGAACTGGACATATATATGCTTTGGAAAAATGAGGCAAATCATATTTTTCCCTAAAACCTTTTTTAAAAAGATGAAGGCCGTTGTAATTGAGCTCTTCCATTCTGTGTTCCAGTTTTGATTTTTACGTTTTGGAAAAAATATTTTTTTCTCATGAGCCGTATAGGACAGGCTCCGTTTCTTGCAATTAAAATACTTGTTTAAACGTTTCTTCCAGCAGATTCTAAAAAGGCCTGAAGTTCATTTCTTAATTATCGTTCATAATAAAATGTATTTTTGGAAAAAATACCTCAATTTCCTTTACTTCTGAAGAAGGAACTGTAGATTGTAATTCTTCTGTGAAAAAAAGGAATTAGAATAGAAATACTTCTTATATCTATTTCAGCAGATGTGACAAGTGTTGGCACTATGTTGGCATGTGAACAAAGAAGTTTAGTTTCAAACACGTGCATTTCTAGGCTCCAGCATTGCACTAAAGAAAGATTTCGTTTAGGTTCTAATCAGATAGAATGATCCCTATGCTTTTGATCTTCTGGGTTTTTTTTTTGGTAGACATCCTTAAATTACAGTAGCATTTTGTTTCTTAAGAAATGCATTTGATGTCTAGATTCCCTGGGGTGTTATGGACCATTGCCGTGGGGTGATTAGATCACAGACAAGGGACTGAACAGATACAGTTTTTATGTAAAGGTCCCTGAAGATAAAAACCTGGAACATGAACAAAATGTAGAAGCATGCTGTACTCTCAGCAAAAATCACTCCAAACAGAAAGGTTTTCAGGCGATGAGGTGTCAGCAAGTCTATTATCAAAACCAGAACTCGCAGTACTGTAGGCAGGCTGTATGGGCTACAGCGCAAGCAGATCGAAAATTCTGATTCACAAGCAGGCGTTTCAGGAACTGTGTGGGAACTCATGTGGCTATGCTTGGGGAATTTTCAGGTGTTAACATTTCTGCTGGTCACACATCTGACCTTCCCTTTGCTGTTCCCAGGGGCTTACCACCTCCCATAGTGTATTTCTGAGTTGTTGGATCACTTTATTGTATTTTGGGTATGAGTCGTGCAAATTGTATACTGTCCAAAAGATGCACCACCTGTGGCATTGCTTTAGTCCTCTCCTGTTGTCTTTTTGATGAATCTTTGGCAAGGAGAAGGAAGCTTTAATGAGAGGAAGCATACACAAAGCTCTGGCAGGTTATGGGAAGCACTGGACTCCATAATTGCAGAGGCTGTTGCACCTTAGACATGTAAGAATCATTTAGAGACTTACCTTGTGGCTGAAGCTTTTCATGGATGTAGCAGCAAATGTAGACATCTTCCCGTGTTGTTTAGTGAATGAACATGACAGTCATTGGCTCTCAGTAAGTTTTACTCTTTTCCTCTCTGGCAGGTTGGAGTGGAGGTGGGTCCGTGGTGAGAAACAACAGAGTCCTTTTCCATCAGCTGGAGCGGCAATGCAGCATTGTTCATTATGTCTACCAGAACACGCTGGGAGGCTCCATTCGGGCACAGCTGAGGCAGGTGAGGAGTTTCTCCTTCATAACTTGTTGGACATCTCAGCTCCCTATATGAAAACATCTTCAGCACAAGCAGGGAAACTGTAAAGGGGCTTGAAGTTCCTCACGTACACAGTTTGTGGCTCCAAGTCTGGTGCACCCTTATGTTTCTTAATCCTGTAAAATGCAAGAGCCGAGATGGCTTTTCCTTTCGATCGACCTGTCCCTGCACTGTACTTTTTATCCTCTGTTAATTCTGTGCATTCTTGAGTCATATTTAAACTTGACCACTCTACCAGCTGAATTGTAGCCCAGTGCTACTTTAGCACGCTGATCTGACTGTTGTACTATTTTTGTGTCCACTCTACTTTGCTAATCATGTCAGGTTTAGTGTTGATTTTTCCTCTCACAGACATATTCCATCAAGTCCATAACGTTTTGCTGTTTTTCAGAGCCATACTCCTTCTTTCATTTGAATATTAACTTTTTCTGTAACATCTATAGGTGGGAAGCACCTGGGCTAGCTTTATATTCCAGATGATTTATCTGTTTCAAGTATCCAAATCGTAAAGAAATCGCCAAGTTCATGCAAGCAATACCTGTTCCTCAGCTGAATGACAATACAATCATGTCATGGTTTCTCATTCCCTGTTTATTTCAAGTGTTCTGTTCGTTCTTATGCTGTATAGTTGAGCTGCAGGCATGGAGGACCATAATATTGTATCTCTGGATGATATGTGACATTTTGGAATGCTCAGTGAAGACATAGTCATAAGTGCCTGTTACTGGGGTGGAGGCATGCTCTTCTCCCTTGTTAATTATCCTGCGTTTTTAGCTCAGCCCACGAGGCTTAGCTCCCTGTACATCATTTAAAGTGTGGTATCTCTCAGTTCTCTGTTGCCTTCTGAGTGCTGTGGCTGATGTGGATTTCTGTGGTCACAGGCTGTTTCCCTTGGGGACAGCATGTTCTCTTTATTCTACAGAGAGGCTTAGAATTTTGTGTTAATGTACTAACACTGATGGCAACTAGAAATTGTTAGCAGTCCTCATTCAGAGAATCTCAGGCATCTCTGCAAAAGTCATAATTCTCTTTATCTTTTTAACAGAGTCTGCAGCTGCCCTTTCTGCGTTCTCTTGCCTCATACCGCCTCTTTCGAACAGCAAGTCCCTTTGACAGGAGAGTGACATGCCTGGAATGGCATCCAACACACCCCAGTACTGTAGCTGTTGGTTCCAAAGGTGGAGACATCATCCTTTGGGACTATGAAGTACTTACTAAAACCTGCTTCATAAAAGGGGTAAGCCTCTGGGTGTGTGGAATGGGTGGGAGGGGAAACTGGAGTACGACCAAATATTGCAGATAAAACCTGAGGTCTGTTGTGATAAGCCCATTAAGGGTCGTGGGTTGCAGAGTAGCCAGCTATGGGGCAGGACTGAGATGCAGCAGCATGTCTGTTCCTAAGTCCCAGATTGTTCTAGTGCTGGGGAGAACTGGCGCGTGTTGCTTAACCTCATAACGAAGCAGTACTTGCTGTGTGTTCAGTGGAAAAATAATACGGCAACTGTCAAAACAGTTATCTTAAAGGGATGCCAGAAACAAGTAAGAAGAGAGGGTCGGTCTGTTTTAGGTCTTAATCTTTCTCTGCTCACTTTTTATTCTATGTCAGACGAAGAAACATCTTTGAGTAGGGAGAAACAAAGTCCCTTTATCTAAAGTGAAAAACTAAGGTAGAATCAATGGTTTATGTAGCTGGCATGCCTCCTCATTGCTGTATTTGGCCATTCCCATTCTGACAGGGCTCAAAGACTCTGTAACTTTTTCCCCCTTTCTAAATTGACATACGTATGCACTGGAAGGAGGTCTATCCTCCAGAAATTCTAGAGTCATCTTTCTCTTTTTATAAATAGTGTGGTGCCAGCCAGCCAGGGAATATATTGCCTGGGGACTGAAGGAGTTGTGGTTTTGTCCTTCAGGAGGACAGCTGTCTAGACAGCCAAGATACAGAAAGACACGGTTGTCTTTGCCTCCTTGAAGAGCTGTGGTGTGTTTCACTGTGGCTGTTAAGGACATAGCGGTCAGTGCAGACTTAGAGAACACACTTTTCTCCTTCCCCATCACTCAGTGGATTTTTCTTTTGTTCATCCCCTTCCTTGTAGATGGGAGCTGGAGGGGCCATCACAGGAATGAAGTTTAACCCTTTTAACCCTAGTCAGCTGTACACTTCGTCAGTTGCCGGCACTACCACCCTGCAGGATTTTAATGGCAATACTGTCCGGGTCTTCACCAGCACCGAGGACTGGGAGTAAGAAATACAGTAATGCTTTGGGCCTCTGCTAGAAGGACTGAGAGCGAGCGCGCGCGAGAGAGCGAGAGCGAGCGAGAGAGCGAG